TGATTATAAGCACAAATTTATAGCATTAGTCTTGAACTGTAAATAGCTATGCATATGGTTATCTGTGTTGTAATGAAAATCTCTTTTGAAGGCTGTGAGGATATTTCTGCCAGTAAAGTATATTTGTGATTGCTTGCATGAAGGTGCCAGTCATACAGAAATACATAATTAATTTTGTGCAAACAGGATAGCTCTTGATATTGATTAAATTATTCACAGAGCAAGAGGTGTAACTATAGCTATAGGAAAACTATGCAGCAAGTGAAAGCTCTTTAAATCAGGTGAAGAAAAGAGGAGCACAAGAAGAAATCCTCATTTAAAAATTCTTAGAATAAGTAAGCTACTGATTTTTGATAGTAAGAGCACATACCACTAGAGCAAAGGGGCGTGATGGCGCTCACGTCTCTTGGAAGATCTCTTGGCTTTAGTTAAATATAAGTTAATTGGCTGAGTTACAAGAAATTGGGTGAAATTTAGAGGAGGTCTGGCAAATCTTAGTTTCCCTGACCTTAAAATTTGTATGTTAATGAATAAGTCTTCACAGGGTAGTGGTTGAAGGGCCAGTGCCCAAAGTGCTAGCACTTACTAAAGATGAAATGTTCAGGTACCTGTGAAAGGAAATTGCCAAATCACTCATATATCATTATTAATAAAATTGTGCCTTTTCAATTTAAGATTTTAAACATTATTTGTTTTTCAAGAATAATAATGCTAATAATTTGAAAGCTTAGGAAAATATTTCTGTATATAGATACCAGGTGTACTTCTGCTGAATGTTGCTTGTTCTTTTTTTCATAGTCTTGTTAAACATGGGGATGCGTGCTTGGAAGCAGATGAATGTCCATGTTCATGGAAAGGAAAGGAATACTTTCCAGGTGATCAAGTCATTTCTTCCTGTCATACATGGTAAGCACAGATCTGTTTAGGTGATTATTTCATTTTAGTTGTTTGTTTATGGGTTGATTTTTTTTTAGTGTTTCTTAATCATAAATTTCACACCAGATTCTAGTAGATCATCTACCCTAATTTTGTATTTACACTTGTTCAAAGAACTATTAAAATGACATTTTTTTAGGGTTGTTTGTTTCAAGGAACTTGTACATAAGAAAATAAGAGCTATTTGAGAATTTAAAAAAAAAAAAAGCTTGATTTAGAAAAATCATTTTTTTGATTATCAAGGTAATCTAAACTAATATTCCTTGGCCGGTGTTCCTAAAGTACAGGTAAAATCCTTCAAATGTTACACCTGAGTGACATTTGTTAAAGCTTTTTACTTATTCATTTTCACATTTAGCATTGAATCTGAGCAGTCTAAGGACCCGAAACATAACCCTGTGGCCATAAGTATATGCCCGCTACAATGATAAATTAAGGAGAGTAACGAGCAACATCATGTACTGAGCATAGTAACAGATGAATTCGTTGCTAATTTTGCATGTGTGGATAAGAACTCATGAATCAGTCGGCTTTTAAAGGAAGTGTTCCAATAGACAAGGGTTGATAAGATCACTCAAATACACGCAGAAACCTATTCCTTTTACTATCCAGCGTTGTAAATGCAGCACATGCCCTATAGCTATGTTACTCTGCAAAGTTTCCTTGAGCACTCTCAGTAGAACGTGGTACACTACCATTTCAATAAGCTTCACAAGAGCTAAGACGTGAAAATGTACCACATCTGCATGATCCTGAAACAAACTTGTTTCCTGATGGTCCCCGCCTGTTTTCTTCTTTGACTGCTGTTGAATGTTGCAAGCTGGCACTAAGCAGCACTATTTGTCTTACTAGAGCCTCAGAAAAATCAGCTGTACTGTCAAGCATCAAGATACTATGGTAGTGGTATAGCGTCCAGCTTCTCAGCAGAGCAGTTCCTTTCTTTTGTCCTCCTCTTTTAGCTTACCAGGAACATTTAACTGGTGTCACCTGGTAAACTACTGCTCCTGGCCTGCACAGCTCAGTATAGCCTACTATGGTGAAGGCTTGTCCAGTCAGCACTAATCACTGCCTTGTCTGGATGTCATTGCCCCCTCCAGCCTTGTGCTGACTGCCTACCTCTGCCTCTCGTCAGGTCCTCAGTATCTGCTCTAGAAGAAATTTGTAGCCCTTTGGTCGACTGGTGAAGCGACTTACAAGCCATCTCCACTGGGCAGGCAGGTAAAGCGACCCGGGTTATTCACCCCCTTATTTCCAAAGGCCTCTCCAATTGGACCTGGTGTGGGATTGCTTGCATCAGAAAGAACTATTGTATCCCATTTAATCTGTATAAGACTTCACCAAAGGCAGCAGCAGTGCAGGCAGAAAGACACTGGATATTTAGCCTTCTCTTTTTTTTTTTTTCCTGAGGCCAGGCCCATTAATTCATGTACAAATCCTTAAGATTGTCATGGATTTTCTAGTCTTCCACGTCCAGAAGCAAAGACAGATTAAGTGATAATGGCTTTTTGGCAATCAGTTGTCCACTGACAGATGGGAAGTCTGCAACAAGCTCTGCTTAATACAAAGTGCAGAAAGTCTTTGAGACTGCTGTGTGTGTATGCAGGGGTGTATTTGATATGTCAAGGGAAATATGCATTTTTGCTCATGCAAGGCATGAGAATACTCATGCAAAAAAACCTGCTTGGGCACTCATAGCAGTTATAATGACTTTAGTGTTGTTTATTGCACAGAAATATGTGCGCGTTGATACTAAATATCATCATCTTCATATCTGATGTAGTATTAGCAACATAACTATTAATCTGATTTGTCTATTGAACAGTAAAATGGCAAATAAAATAATTTCTTAAATTGGCAAAACTACCAGTGGAGTGTCAGGAACTTTCAACCCAAGCTCTGGGGTCTGGCTGAACTGCGGTTCTAGGTTTCCCAAGTCTGGTTTTCAGTGCAGCTTCCTCATACTGTTTACATGTGCTGGCAAGATTAAATACAAAAGGTTATTACACTAACTGAAGGTATCAGAGAAGCATTTTGGTGCTGTGCTGTGCAAGGTAGGATGGGTGGTGCAGTTAGCTATGCTGGTTTGCTGTCGTACATTGAGACCACTGAGCAAATGCTGGTTAATCTCTGTGGGCTGCTGAATTGGGCCTTCTGTGTTCTTAAACAAATACTTCTTGGAAATACTTTTTTAAAAAGCTAGTTGAAGTTTGGAAGATGCTAGTAGCTCTGCTTTTCCAACTAGGACTCTCTAGATTCTGGTAACTAAATGTTAGTTTACTTAGTATGAAACAAGATGGGTGCAGAGGACTTTGAAGACATTGTGTACCTCTTAAGCCCTTCCTTCTGACTGTAAACGTGTTAAGACTCCTGAACAAGAAAGTATGCAAAGGAGCTCCCTACCCTTTACATGTTAAGAAATGTTTCTGCACGAGCCCTTAACAGATCAGCATGTGGAGGAGGGTTTGAATAGGCCAAGAGTAAAACTAAAACCTAATGTCTCACAGAGAGCATGAGAAGCAGCACTTATTTTTTCAGTCCAAATATAATTTCTTCTATTTGCCTGTCTCTCCATTGGATTGATTAGGTTCCTGCCTTAGGTACAGCTTTGAGGTGACTAGAGTTAGCTGGGTGAGTCCTACTGCCATCTACTTGTGCTTTGGTACAGCAAACGCTTTTCACATCTTGTACTTTTAACTTATTTTAGCCATGTGCTTAGTGTATTTATATATGTAGTTACACAAAATACAAGCAGTGGGCCAAATCAATGATGGGATAAGCGGAGTCTTGGAAAATCTGCAAAATTACTCCAGGTTGGTGTAAGTTACATGGTAAGGGAACAGAAGGAAACATGATGCTACTAGTAATTGGAGCTGCCTAGATTTTCTAGATAATTGCTGCTCTTTTGCAAACAGATGCCAAACATTAGTGACTTATCAAATACTTTCGTAAGTCAGATTAATGACAACTTTAGTTGTAAAATGTGAAGCATTCATTTAATCAGGAAACTGAAAATTCAATATTTTTGAAAATAAAGTTAGATATGTGCCAAAATTATATCAATGCTGTATTTAGCTTAACCTGTATTTATAAAATATACCTGTAGGAAAGCTATATCAGGGCACGAGCTCTGCTGTCTTTATCAAGGGAAGTTTTTAGTGTTCAGGTGATTTAGAAACATAAAAAAATAACATTTAAAAAATGACGTGGATACAGGAAATGAAATTCTATCTATTTATAAATCTTATGTAACTTCTGAAAATGTTTAGATTGCAAGAGGGTGATGCAGAAAGAGACATAGTATCTGGTGCTGCAAAGCCTCGCTGTTAGGCAGTTACAAAGCAAAGGTAATTCAGAAAGGTCTGAACAGTCACTTAGTGTATGTGTGATGAAAGCGTTTTGATGCTTAAGGTATCTATAGACAGAATTTGAACTATTCTGGAAGCCCCTACACTGTCAGGCTAGGGTTTGGGGATGATAATACCTCGGCATCTGAAAAAAAAAAAAAAAAATGCCCAACAACCCGAAACATGGTTCTTTTAAGGAACCTAAGCACCAAAATAGTGCTACTGAAATTTTTCCTTTGCACTTCTGTGAAATTCTCGTTCAAGCAGAGAGTGAGTAAAGACTGTATTAACAGGACACATTGCTTGTTGATTCTAAGATTCAGCTCGTATAGAAACAAATGTTCTGTGAGAAGCTGAAAAAGAAAGCTTTATCCTTGTGGCACGTTATTGATGTGAGTTACTGGAGAACAAATTTTATTACTTTGGGTGGCAGTTCTTGTTTTCTTGTTTCAACAAGAGAAATGCCCTTTTGGTGTCTATATATTCTGGAACCTATAAACTCTAACAGGAAGAAACACAGACTGTATGGGTTCAATATGTACATTTTTTTCCCAGAAAATCAATTCATATATGCTGCTTCTAGTTAACATCTCAAAATGCTTCTGTCCACAGTCATCATACTTGCCTGGCTTTTGGTTTTTTTGCTTCTTAGTGCAATAGCTGTAACCATTTGTCCGTGGTTAGAGTTGATATTACCATTATTGGTCATACATTTTTCAGCATTTGCCAGCATGGATCATTCCAATGTACCTTCCATCCTTGCCCATCAATGTGTACTGCGTATGGGGATCGGCATTACAGAACGTTTGATGGACTAACATTTGACTTTGTTGGAACTTGTAAGGTTTACCTAGTTAAGGTAAGACTTCTTTGTAAAGCCCTGTAAAACTGGATTTAAAAACTACCTGTTAAAAACTATCCTCCTACTTATTTCCTATCTGTACATTTTATTGAGTCCTACATACTGTTTTTTAAGCTTTCATGTTGCTTAGACTTTGAATCATACATAACATAATTATACACTGAGATTTCTGCTAATTGAACTGTTGAACAATATACATGTTTATATTAGTATATTTTAAAGTGTCCATTTCTTTTTTTTCTTCAGGGTACTTCAACCAGTTTTTCTATTATTATAGAGAATATTAATTGCTTTAATACTGGAATCATTTGCAGAAAAAACATTTTCATTAATGTTGGAAAATCTTTTTTAATATTTGATGATGAAACTGGAAATCCAGTAAGTTTCAGTCTTTAACACTGATCAAAAGGTAGCATATGTGCTTCTCTGGGATTTTTTTCTTTCATTAGCAAAAACTGACTGTGTCACTTAAGTAGCAGAGGTGTAAATATCTTTACCATGAATGCTGATCACATCTGGATTGGTCAATGGAAGCCTTAAACAAAATCTTGTCTATATTTCATGAAAATGTTAGATGAGATTATCGTAATTCTTTTGTTTAGACTTAATTCCTGTTTAGTGTCTTAGGGAAAATCCGGATATTTTTAAGTCAGTGGGAGTTTTGCTATTAACTCTACTAGAACTAAGAGTTACTTAGTCTGGTCTAGAATGTATAGGAGGAATATTCCTATACAGCTGTAAAAATCAAATTGCAGTCCCTGGTATATCCTCCACAGCCTTAATTTCATTTTTGTTTTGGCCAAACTGCAAACTCTATTGCTGTAAATATTTAGTGTATTTAATAATTTTAGTATAAATAGTACTATTTACAGTTTATAGACTGACTATACAAAGGTAGTTGTGTCTCTTTGTATGAGATATTGTGTAATTAAACCAGACATCTTAGTCCATTCCAAATAATTTGGAAGCTGATTGTTATTGGATGGGGGGAAGAATGCTTTATGTAAATAAGATGGCAATCTCTGGACATATTTAGGCAATTCCTTATTTCAAGAAGATGCTCCATGCATCTTTATACCTATCTACATTCAAAAAAGCATGTGGCTAAGACCTTTTGAATGCAATAATGTATAACTAAGTGAAAATCATAACCAGGAACCTTAAGACTGATTGGTTTTTTTTTTTTTTACCTCACAGATGAACCATTAACATTTTAATTTTCACTCCAGTTGCTGTTACCCATCCTGTAAATTTGATATAAAATCAACTTTTAAAATGTGAAAATCATAAATACAACACAGTTCACAATCAAAATCCATACCACTTTTGTTTAAGCATTTATCCCTGTGTGTGGCCTTCTGTCAGTTTTTGGACTTCTGTCTGGGAACAGTGTCATTCATTTTATTTAGGTGTTTCATTTCCTGTCAAGTGAACATTTTGTGAAGACATTACTTACATTATAAGCTGCCTTGTTTTATTTTGAACAGAGCTTATCTAGTTACGTAGATGAACTACAGAAAATACAGTTATGGAAAGCTGGTTTTTTCACTGTTGTTCATTTTCCTGATGAGCACACCACCATTCTTTGGGATCAGAGAACAACAGTTCATGTACAGATGGGTCATCAGTGGCAGGTAAGTGGAAGTCAACACTCTAATTGCTATTTCTTTGAGGTATTTATATAAGTCTTATTAAGTAAGACATGTTATCATTATTCAGAGAATAGACAATGTGTCAGAAATCATATAGGAACTCAGTGGCAGGGTCAAGGAGAGAAGCATTCAATTACCTTGTCAATTAAAATACTCATTTACTCTTTTTTTCCAGTGACTACTTACTGTCTAACTTCTGTAACAACAGAAACAAATAACTTTGAGGCAACATTCTCCTTCAGCACTCATTCCTTATGACTGGAGCAGGTGTTATTTTGCTGAAGCATAAAAAAGCACATAGCTAGCAAACAGGTCACTTCTGTAAACAAAAGATCAGCTCCTTTCTCAAAGGCTTGGAGATACTTAGTTGAAAGGGAATAATATTGATGTTGTCAAAATAAAATATTTTCCATAGCTTTATTATCACAAAGAGCTGAACTGTTTTGGCTGAAATTTAGCTGAGAAGAATCAAATTCTGACAAACTTATAATTAAGCAACTGAAGACAGGAACTTAAAAAGCAAGTTTTGAAAAGTTGTGGCTGGTAGTGTTTTGTATGATGTGGAAATATGTTTTTATATATATATATCTCTTTTCCCAGGGTGAATTGACTGGATTATGTGGAAATTTTGATTTGAAGACAGTAAATGAATTGAGGACTCCAGATAACTTTGAATTAACAAACTCACAAGAGTTTGGAAACAGCTGGACAGCTGTAGAGGTACATAGTAAAAAGAATGTGTTTGCTAGTAGATTTTTTGCTGTTATATAATTTATCTAGAATGAAATCAGAAATTTGTTCCTGGAAGTATCAATCAGTGAGCAATGCAAATGGCAATATCAATGGTTCTTACAGATATCATAATCCATTAAGGAGAAGAAAATAATCACCTTTATTTCTACACAGTGCTATAGTGTAGAGAAAAATGCTGTACAATATTCTGAATTTACAAGTGTTTTTGAAGATGTTGTTTAAACAGTAAAGTAGTCATTTTTTTACGTAATGGAAGAATTGTGGGTTCACTTTAGACTCTTGTCAGTTTAGCTGATCTTTCATAGCTGGGAAATATTTAACTGTGAAACCATAGCAATGAAAAGAAAAAATATTCTTTCCGTATGTTGTAAAGTTAAAAATTGAACTTTTTTAATGTCATGTGTCTAGTGGTGTTCGTGGAAATGTTCCTTCCTAGTAGTTAGACTAAAAAGATCTGATTTCTGACACTTCTAATGTATGTCGTCCGAGTGAACTTTGTTATGTATGTAAGCTAGACTATTCAGGTGTAAGGACTGCAGATTGGGAATGCATGGCAGCTCTGTTTACACCTATATGTATGTATGTGTTTTTCTGCTGCTCTCAGACAAATGAGAGAACATTTCTTCAGATTGTGTACTCTTCCTTTTCTGCAGATTAGCATCTCCTTTTAATTCTATACCTTAGTTTTGCTTTAGTTTCATAAATGACGCATTCGTTTTTGTGTTTTACATCTCTTTTAAAAAAAAAAAACCAAACAAAACTATGCTTTCCAAGTTCAAACACAAAGTGGTTATGAAACAAGTTTCTGACCTTGATTTTGCTTTCTGGTTAAGTGTGTTGACAGCTCTGACATTCGAAATCCATGCGGTTTGAATCCCCTTAGAGAGCCATTTGCCAAGAAGGAATGTGGAATACTGTTAAGTGAAGCATTTGAAGCTTGCCATCCAGTGGTGAGTTGTGGTCACGTATAGAAAGATGTGAAAGTGAACATATCACTAGAGAAACTTTACTCTTCAACTCGCATCACTTTACATGTTCATCTTGTCTACCATAACATAATAATTTTGACTACTATAGCAAAAGAGAATACGAAGAAAGTCTAACCCATACCTATTCTGATTCTAAAATGTGAATGTTTAACTGGACCTATAAGGACTATCTGCACTTAGCTGACCTAGACAGTAAGCCGCTTTGGCACCGATTTAGCATTCTACAATATGGGCAGTCCTATTAGCCCCCTTTGTAATTAACACAGACAAAATCTTACCCAATTTTTGTGTTATCTTTTTTTTATCCCAAGCACTATTTGCATAAGCATAACCACTTGTTTTATTTTGCTCAAATGTATTATATAGCATGCACTTTTTTCAGGCATATTTAAATAAATTGGAAGTTTCATCTAGGTGGTATCAGATGTGAAGAACTCATTCCTAGAAAAAAGATGCATATATCTCCTTACTCAGGCAACCACCTAAGGAAATAATTGAGCCATACAACATGTTCTGACAGTCAACAGGCTCAGGTTCAGTTGGAGAACTGGGAGGGGGACAGACTGATTTCCAGAGCTAGGTCTTATATGGAAAATGACATACCCCAAGATGTTCAGGTATTGACACTGTGTGCATGGCTTAAAGAGTGTAAGTGTCAGAATGGTTCCTAGGGAGAAAGGAGATTTCATATGAAAGACAACCAGGAATCTTGCAGGGTTGCTTTGTATATTATTTTGGAAGAAAGTGGAAGCTGATGTTAAAGTTGTATTAATGTAACATTGGTTTAGTCCACTGTATAAGGTAGGTAGCAACTAAGTTCCTCATAAGTGTGTAGGTATTACTGAAGCGTAAATCCATATAGAATGTGTAACCATTCAATAAGCAAATTAGCATTGACAGTTTTCTTAGAAATTTTGTCACTTAAGACAAGACTTCAAAATAATCTAAGGGAAAAAATCACAAATTTGCCTGTGAAATTGTCTAATAATATGAAGAGAATGAACTGCTCTCACATGAAAAAGTTTTCCATCTACTTTATTTCTTACATTTTATATATATCTTTCTTAACACTGCTGAGATTTGTTGATTTGTGATCAGTTTAGAGAGAGTTTATCTTATTTCATAAGCTTCTTTGTAGTTTATTATGGTTTAAATATTACAAAACCATACAAAACACAAGCTCACATCAACATCTTAATGACCCATTAGTAACACAATTAAGTCAGTGTGCATGTTCGTAAGTACTGTACAAGATTTTATGATGTGTTCTAATAAACTGTTTTTCTTGTGTTTCAGGAAACATTTAAATTAAAATCTTTAACACTTTGAAGTCTTATATATTAAATTTTGAAAGACTAATAGCTTTGTATTGAGGTGATTGTTGCCAGTGTCTGTATGAATATTTTTGATAAGTGATACTTATATTTCCAGATTGACGTCACCTGGTTTTACTCAAACTGCTTGACAGATACATGTGGTTGTAACCAAGGAGGTGACTGTGAGTGTTTCTGTACAAGTGTATCAGCATATGCACATCAGTGCTGCCAGCATGGAGTTGCTATAGACTGGAGGTCCCCTAGAATGTGTCGTAAGTTTACTTAACTAGCATTGCCAGTGGCTGTCACTGTCTGCATTCATGAGACCCAGACCTGAAAAATCAATCACATTAAGTTACCTGGGGCCATGAATTGAATCACTGAGCCACACTGGTAGGAAGATGAGTGGGTGCCTCTCACTGCCCTCCGTGTTCATTTTGGTCTAGCTGGATTACACGGTTCTTTCCATATTTGTGGGTGGTACTCTTCTATTTTTATTTTCTTGTCCTATCATGTGAAAGGAGAAGTCATGGGAAGTCTGTATTAGGATGTGGCATGTGTCCCTCAAAGCAAAGTTACAAAGTTAACAGCTCAAGTAATTTCCATGTTCAGGAGGACTTCCCTTCTTAACAGGGTCTAGGAAACATAGCTGCCTTACTACTGCCCCCAAAGCAAGTATGAAATATAAAGGTCTTCTGAAGAAAAACAAGTAGGTTTTTAAGCAGGACTTTGTCATTACCTTAGTACCCCTATTCAACAATGCTTAGAAGTTGTAAAAAAATCTGAGGCCTTTTTGTATGGCACCTAGTGCAAATGCCTAACAAGAGACAGTAATTTCCTCAAAGATGTGATAAAAAAGGGAAAGACGGAAAGAATGGAAGAAAACAAGCATTTTTCTAACTGCAGTTGCACAGAGAGAGTATGCAGCTAGTTCAAAGTCACACAGCAAATTTGCCGTAGAGCAAGAGGGTTGCTCTTCATTTTTTATATATAAATGGTATGTGTGTTTTAATGTGAGCACGGAAAGACAGCAAAGCTTAGTCTTAACCACTAGAGGTCACAAAAAGACAGCTGTAGGTATGTAAGCTTAGTATTTCCTGCTAGGAAACAGTATTTTATTTAAAACAGTGTAGTTTAAATTAGTACTTTATTTAAAGCAGTAAATATTTGGCAATTTTTTTTTAAATAAATGTTTGTGTATGATCTAACTTGGCCAAGCATTTGGCTTACCTCTTAATTGTAATTAAGGGTAATAGAAAACCTGGTTATCTGCAGAATGCCTGCAACTGCATTTCTTTTCTTTTTATTTTTTAGCTTATGATTGTGAATATTTCAACAAAGGTAAGTCCTAAAGGAGCTGTAAAAATGTCAATAGAATCTTTGGTTTCTTTATATAAGTCTTAGTACTTTGTATAAAAATAATTGTGTTAATGAAAACAGTTGCGAATGATTATATTATTTAAATAGCCAAGATTCTGTTTTACTGGTTTAATTTGCTTTTTCAAAGGGTTTTAATTTCATAATCTTTTTTTATTCCTGGGTCTTTCCCAAAAATATGTTTAACTCATTTTCTTTGCATTTATGGATCGTGATTATTAAATCATTAAGTAATTAATAGACTACTCAACCCAATAGTACTAGTGGCACTACTTGCTTAAGGCATACTGACTGCAGTTCAAAACTGATACCCAGTGGGTCTGTTAAACCAATCATGATCTCCTGTGCAGCCTCCAGAGGGAGGCAGCTATTAAGATATTTCAACTTTTTGTGCCCAAACAGGGACTAACTCTCCATTTAGGTATGTCTGACCTAGCTTTAAGTTCCTGAGTGACAAGCATTGCTGCTGCATTAGAATGGCTCTCAGAGAGGTGGAAAACTTGTACAAGGTGCTAGAGTAAACCTTGAATCTGCACTGGGTGCTATATTGCTGTGTTAACACTGGAATATACATTCAGACTATTTTAAAGTTACATTGCGAGTGTCTGCATAGTTAGACGTGGTATACATACAAGCACTGCAAGCCAGCTTGATGTGAGGAATGGTCAGGACTCCTGCTATTTATTCTATAACTCTTTTTATCAAGCTCGTGTAGAAGCCTGTCTATCCAGATGGCTCGTGATATTTTGGTCTTCTGTTGGACTCCATATTACAGCAGCTCACCCCCAGAAAGATATCGGAGAAGGACTGAGTTTAAATTAGAAGAGACTTATGCAGCATGCCAGGCCCAAACGATATGGCCAAAAAAATTTACATTTTCTGATATACCGACTGCTGAAAAGATTTTTTGACTGGGGTCAAATTGCTAATGCAGTGGAATTTTATCTAAATCACTATTTAAGCCTTTAAATTAATTTTAATAAAGGCCAGTTAAATATAAGAGGTGATTGCAGTTTTACATTTCCTTTTTGGTTTGTTTTGTTTCATAAATGAAATATAGTCTGATGCTAGATAATCTTACTGCAGTTGTAACAGATCGAAAGTGCAGTACCTCTAACATCTGTGGTAGTAGTGAAATGAAGTTTGATGAAAACATATACTTTTAAAGTGTGTTATTAGTTTTACTTGTTACTGTGAATTCTCACTGACAGAAATTAGTTGAAATAGTGGAGAGTTTTGCATGTGACCAGCTTGTAATAAACACGGTTATCATATACTTCTCACTTTGTATCTTCCTACTGTTTGCTAATCCAGCTCTTCAGTATTCAATGTAGGATGTTTCGGAGCTGCCAATGGGGAAAAAAATCATCTCTATGCTGAAGATTTTCTTCTCTACCTCAAATATAGTAGCATTGCCCAGAATTACTTAGTTTTGGAGACAGGAAGGTTAAACTTTCTTAGACCAGAGAGAGGTTTTCTCTATGTAACTTTGTCATGAATCCAGAGTGAAATAGTTCCAGTCCTACTAGAAGCAGGAGCAGAAGCCTTTTGTCTTTGGTAAGGGGAAATTCTCAATTGGTACCTGTGGTTTCTCAAGTTTTGGATGGGCCTGAGATAGAGACTTAAATGCAAAATGACATTTCCAGAACATTAGATGTTTTAAGTAATTTAAAAAATGTTTTTCAACTCCCTGCACTGAAGGTAACCAGGTATCGCTGTACATGTTTAGCTAGGCATGGGCTTGTGTCCTAACTGGCCACCTATTTATGCCATTACAATCTAAAACACTGGTTGTAGTGCAGCCTCCTTAGGATTTCAAAACTCTTAATAAATTTTAAGGTTAGGGAGAACCAGAATATGAGGGCAGGCTGCAAACTGCAGTCCAAACTTTTAACCTGTGGGAACAGACTTTAAGGGTCAATGGTATTAGCTGCAACTATCAGCTGAGAAGTTTTGGGAAACTTCTACCTTAGATGTATGCTTGCCGCATCCTGGCTTGTGGGTAAAATGGTAGTGAGGTGAATTGCTCAGGTGTGGTCTAAAATGCCTGGTTTTAACAGAGAAGTTTACAAAAATAATTTCAAATAACATTTAAAAATAAACGTTAAAATATTTTTCTGCAGTGAAATTGGAACTAAGTGAGGAGGTGTGACACTAAGATTTGTGAAATTATAACCACATCCTTCTGGCTTTTTTTACTTATAGGTAAAATACAACCATTCTTTTGCTTATGATGCTGATTTCTTCCTGTCTCACTTCCCAGTGGTTACATTTGTGTATACACTGTTCAAGGAGTTCTTCAATACTTGATGACAACAAACTTTTATTCCCTGCAAAATGCCTCACACATTGGACACTAATAAAATAGGTTTTGAAGACTTTTTGACTTTTAAAAATGACATTTCCAGAACATTAGATGTTTTAAGTAATTTAAAAAATGTTTTTCAACTCCCTGCACTGAAGGTAACCAGGTATCGCTGTACATGTTTAGCTAGGCATGGGCTTGTGTCCTAACTGGCCACCTATTTATGCCATTACAATCTAAAACACTGGTTGTAGTGCAGCCTCCTTAGGATTTCAAAACTCTTAATAAATTTTAAGGTTAGGGAGAACCAGAATATGAGGGCAGGCTGCAAACTGCAGTCCAAACTTTTAACCTGTGGGAACAGACTTTAAGGGTCAATGGTATTAGCTGCAACTATCAGCTGAGAAGTTTTGGGAAACTTCTACCTTAGATGTATGCTTGCCGCATCCTGGCTTGTGGGTAAAATGGTAGTGAGGTGAATTGCTCAGGTGTGGTCTAAAATGCCTGGTTTTAACAGAGAAGTTTACAAAAATAATTTCAAATAACATTTAAAAATAAACGTTAAAATATTTTTCTGCAGTGAAATTGGAACTAAGTGAGGAGGTGTGACACTAAGATTTGTGAAATTATAACCACATCCTTCTGGCTTTTTTTACTTATAGGTAAAATACAACCATTCTTTTGCTTATGATGCTGATTTCTTCCTGTCTCACTTCCCAGTGGTTACATTTGTGTATACACTGTTCAAGGAGTTCTTCAATACTTGATGACAACAAACTTTTATTCCCTGCAAAATGCCTCACACATTGGACACTAATAAAATAGGTTTTGAAGACTTTTTAAAGACTTTTAAAGTTCAACCATACAAATAAACAGTTGAGAGGGATCTCAGGGTGGTCTGTAGAACACTATTTACTTCTAAATCAAATAACTGAGGAGTCAGCTAATTTAATTAAAGTGACTATGAAACCGAAGCGGATGAGAGGGAGGAAAAAGAGAAGCTAATCATGAATCTTGAAAATTGAAACTAGGTATTTTGGACAGTTTTCAGAACAGGTATTTTCTGAAGGAGTTTGGCTTTGTTTTGGTTGTCATTATAGTTTAGTGCATGGCACCTAGATCTATTTTCAGAGTAGAGAGATGTGTTTTTATTTATGTGCTGTATCATAATATTTAGAGCTCAAGCAACAGCTCTGGGAAAGGGTCCATACAAACTGGTCAGCTATTTGGATGGAGAATTTGTAATGGCAGGGAAAATGGGGGGGGGGGTTGTTTTCCCAGTGAAAGAAGATGATGTTGTTCCTGGACATGCAGTGGGCTTTATGCTGACTTCAGGACTTTATAAACCCAAAGCACATGGTAAAGTCGCTGTAACCTAGAGGCTTAAATAAGGCAGAGCAAATTCTGTCCTTGAATACAAACCTACATTTAAGATGAGATTTGGGTCAAAAAATATTTTCTTTATCTGTCAGCTGATTGTGCACCTTAATGTTGTCTGCCAAAATTTTCATTTGGTTGGTTTTAATTAGATGATTGTAGCTTTATAAGCAGATACTTCTAGTCGAAAAGCAACAGCTCCCCCTGCCCCAACCTTCAGAAGCACCAAACCAGTGTTTGTAGCCCAGTGCTCCAGATATGTGGTGTTCCCTCCACCTTTCCTCTGGCAGAACTGGGACATGGGAAAGAATGGGAGAGAAATGATACAAGAAAAGTACTCCCTAATTCACTCACTTTGTCACCACCGCTCATTGTCTGCCCACTTGTACAGAGATGCCCATTGTCCCTAACCTGAGCTCTGTAAGAATGTATACTGCAAATTTGTCTCCTTCAGGTCCCAACTTAAGTTTCCACTGAAGGAATGTGTTGCTTGCTTATTCAGCAGACAAAAGAAGTCTTGCACACCTTCAGACAGGTGGAGAAAGCTTACAAGAATATATTCAGCACTTTGTGACGTTGATTAAATGCTAGAGTTGTCTGCATAAGCAATTTTAATGCCCACAGAGCACTTGAGTCTCAATACAGTTTTACTGCCCAGAGTCCCCTGATCAGCTCTTTGGACAGCCTGAAGGTGGCTGTCTTTGTGTAATCAAAGAAGGGATATGGGTCAGTTGAAAAAATGACAAGCATTTGATTAGTAATACTGCTGTCTGTAGAACTGACACAAGAACTCATGTAACAGAATATCCAGGGCCAGATTTCTTTTATTAGTCATAGTTTTGAGACACTTGTACATTGCATTCAATGTAGGTTTGGAAAGGGAAGGTCAGTCCTACTGTTCTATTCCCATGTAAAAATCACTCAGAATTTAACTTGGCAAATGGAATTTGTGCCTTATAGTCCAATTTGAGCAAATGGCATTTCATCATTTGGCCATGGAGGAGTTTATACAATCAGTACAGTATGTTTCATATCCATGTATTCATTTATATATCTGTGTTCTTGGTTCTTTGGTACCTCAGAAAAATGGATGTGTTTCACCAGTTTCAGACAAATCGTAGACAATGGAAAGTTTGGGACATTGATGTACTGATTGGCTATATGGCAGGTATTATAAGTCACACTGACTGTCCATTGTTACTTATCAAATAGCTACTTGCTACAGACAACTAATAAAAAGATATTCACAAGTGCCACTATGTTTTTCAGAGTAATTGAACTTTTTATGCTCAGGAAACAAGTTGGTCTTCCAGAAGCGTTATTCTAGAATGTGATAGTCTATCTGTTTAATAGAGATCATTTGTTTTCTATGCATTCTTTTTTTCAAGAAACGCTACCCAGGCCTGGAGGGTTAGTTGATTTTACATTAATGGCTGTTTTCAAGAGAATAGCAGAGTTTACAGCAAAACAGAATGAAGTAATTCTGTGAGCAACAGATGCCTGTAATGGGCTCAAGATCTGCCACTCTGCAATTGGTTGTACAGAGGCTTGCTTGAAATCAACAGTACTGTTTTCAGGGTAGGGTATCATGTGGGTACATTTGCCAGAAAACAGACTTTGCTGTTATTCTTAGGGGAAGGGCTAGAGAGCTGACCGCTTAGAAATTAAGACATAAAGCTGTAAGCTGAATGCAAAATCATTTTTGTAATTTATTTTTAATGAAAGGCTGAGCTCTTAAGCTATAAATTCCTGATGGCAAACGTTACTTGTAAAGCTAGATAGATGAAGCTTAAATTTTTATTAAATATATGGCTGAGTGAAGGCTGTAAACTGAAGTTCTGCTTGACTGCGGGGCTATATTCCTTTATCCTGGTGTAGGCAAATGTTTTAATCTGCTTGTATTCCTGTTGAAATCTGTAGGATATTTAGAAAACTAAATATCCATCAGAATCTAGCACTCTGCAATCTCTATACAGTATATTTTCTTACAAGATTCAGGCTATTTTCACTGATAAGGCCAAAGTCAGTTTTCATTGCTGATGCTACTAATATCAGTAGTGGTACCTCAGAGCGAGTTTAGTTTATTATGCATATATCAGCAAGTAAATGAGTTCTGTGTGTGTTTTTCAGATTCCAACTTGATTTCATTTGAAGCAGCTGAGAGACCAAACTATTTTCTTCAGTTGGCCTCTAATAATACTCTTGTTCTTTCTAAATGGGAAAAAAGCGAAGAGTTTCACAACAGATCTACATATGTCATTCACAAGAATACATGGCTTTCAGGATACAGTTCCTTTGAGTCATTTGCAAAACCAGGATACTTCATCCACGTTTCAGCCTCTTCAGTTGAGCTTTTGAAGTACCATCATTCAGAGGAGTTCAGACTGTCGACCCTTTTTAAACTTGTAGGTAGGTAATTAAAGTAGTATTTTATGAACAGCAGTTTGCTCCCTGTGAAAATACAGGCTAAATGGTACTGATATTTTCAGAGGTGACAAAATTGCTTACTTCTCCCCTACATCGCTGGGAGCTGTGAATAATCTGTGACATGCAGGCTCAAAATCTTCTTCCCTGAGCTTTGTAGTGAGGATGAGATTCTGTTTTCTTGTCAAAAGCCATTAAATAGCCTAACACACAACTTAGCTATATTTGCCAACTAGTTTTGGAAATACATAGCCTAGTGTATAGTTTCTGGGCAATACTTGCTTTGTAGGTGGTGAGGAAATTCTTAAGGAGTAGAAGATTCATGCTGATGAATAATGGATTCACAAAGGGAATAGAAAAGAACTGAATGCATTTCTAAGAGCTAAGGTCTGTGGATGATGTTTTGTCCTCCTTTCCTTCTGATTGCTACCAAGAGGGTTTTCTGTACAGTGGATTCTCATTGCAAGCTTTGTGGCCGCCTCAGAGGTTATGCCATCCAGTGCTAAGGACATTGCCTGCAGATTACACCTCTCCAACCTCGTGTTTCCCCTGAAAAACACCTTGACCTTCATCCACGTACCCACTCACAGAGGTACTGCCTTTTGGGATGTTATCCCCTAGTGTTTCAGGCACCACCTAAGTGGAGATATATGCCTCTTCTTGGGGATCTAGATGTCTGTTTCTCTACTGTTTCTTGGAGAGCTACAGCTCTTGGATACACAACATAGACTGCTGTGAGAGTGTTTCTACCCACTTGAGAGATTCCCATTCCTCTAATAGTAGTCCCATTCCATTGAGACATAAGGATCAGAAATGTAGGCGATATTCTTAGGACCCTTCATATGAGCTGGATCCAGAAGTTGCTTCTACAAGAACTGATGACAAAAAAACACACATTAAAAAAATCACTAATAAATCAAGCTCTTTCTTTTTCAGATTAGTAAGGAAAAGAAATAATAAGAATAACTGTTTTCACATATTCTTAAACACTTGGGAACCATGTGCTGAAATGAAGATGGCCTTACAGGTCAAGAACAAGATGCAAGAAATTATATTGGCCTATAAAATAAAGCAAAGCAGATTATTCATGAAACCACCATTTGCTTTAGTGTCTGCTTGTCTTGAATACATCAGATACATCAAATGCTTTCATATAACTTTATAAACTTCAGCGATAACTACTACTTGCTGAAACCACTGGCCTTTGTGTGTTATATGAAATTCCAAAATCACTACAAGTGTTTATTTTTACATTCTAAAGCTTTTTATTGTGCTGTAATTTCAAATGCATTAGTAATTTGTTTATTGGGGTAGCAGAAGTATTTTAATAGGTATTCTTGGCAATACCTCTTTTAAAATCAGTTCTTCATTCTCTGAAACTGAAATTTGTTTTACAAGCAAAGAAAGAAAATGAAATATTGTAACAAATGAAGCATGGCCTGGCCATGTTTTACAGTGACCATGTTGAATCTCAGCACAGACAAATCTGAAGCAGGCACCGACTTCTATGACAGAAGAGGCCAACTGTATGCCTCGTGGAGCTTCTTGTTATCAAAACATTGAATTAAAGTGTTAATGGTGGCATTGTGAATCTGCCGATGTTTTGCGGTGCATTATGCTGACAGCCTAATGCAGCTGTTGACTGGCACACTCCAACTTCAGAAAAAAATGACAGATTTTGTCATTGCCAAATGCCTGTTGCCTCTTGACAAATGCTTGTAATCACAGAGCTGTTGAGGTTTTTGAACAGCAGAATTACAGAGCTAATGCTATTACCAGGATGTTCGTACAGCATTTCAAGCAAGGAACTTTCTTTGGACATAACAAAAATATCTCCTTAGTCTTTTATCTTTGAGGGAGGAATGAAGAAGGTTAAGACATGTTCCAATTCTCAGTGGTCGTCCATTAACACAGAGTGGTATGTCTTTTCAAGTGTGAAGTCTTTACCCTCCAGTCATTATACCAAAAAATCCTATCTATGCCAATGGAAAACTAAAACAATTTACCTCAGCAAGTGGGATCAGATCAAATGATCAAGAGGCATTTCATTAATCACCACATCCGAGGGCTTGGGTTTCAGAGTTTTATAAGCAGAGAAACATAGAGCTTGAATCTTTCTCCAGTGTACTTTCACAAGGGCCAGCCTGCTGATGTAGGGTAATTACATGGTCTAAAAATACAGCAGCATTTGTTTAAGTTAATGGAAAAGTTACACCAGCTCCAGAGTGCACAGGCAAAAGCATATTGAGTTTCCTGCTGACTATTGTAAATGCTTTGCATATTAGATCAGAAACTCTTGAACCGGGAACAGCTATTCCTGCGGAATCAGAGGATAAATATCGGGAGCAGAATAATAGGCCCAGTAAATCCCCTTGGCCAGAAAGTTCCTCATGAGACTTCTTCATGCTCTGTGACGCACATTCAAAAGGAAGAATTTTGAATGACCTGATGACCACAGCAATAGATAGATGTTTGTTTACAGTCAGCTGACGAGTCACTTTTTCCAGTTTCATAGCAATAAATATTGTCACATTGAAATACTTTGACTATAAATTGCTCAGATATGATGGGCTAACACTGCAAAGTATTTTCCATCAGAAGTCACTTCAGCTTTTAAATTGGGTTATTTTCATTATACTCAGATTTGTCTGCTGTCCTGTTCCCACAAACATTTGAGAGTTTGAGTTGATAACTGAATTTGAATATCTAGAGTATACTTGCTCACAAGAAAATACATTTTGCATTCTATGCAGGAATTTTTACCGGCAATGGATTTGTATGCATTCAGTCGAAAGAAAGAATACACTTAGTCTTACCATATGGACAAGCACAGAGCTGTCATGTAAGAGCGATAAATTCACATTTGAAATTGTTGGGAAATTACTGGATGTAGGGAATTGATGATCTTTTTATGGATATAACTGCAGTTTTCTTACACTTTTTAAAAATAATGTGCTCAAGCTAGTTACCTTTTACCTTTCATAGAATTATCATAATATGCTTTACCTTTTTAAGATCACTGAGTTAATTTTATATATATTATAAAAATGTGACTTGCCCTATTTAAATTCTGCAGGAAAGTTCTTAATAATGCTAGCTGTGTGCTTTAATAGCTAACTTGCTGTAAATATAAGGCCTGTCTCAGATAGAATTTTCAGCTAAAATTAAAATCTCAAGATGCACTAAGTATATGCACACTGCACAGAGGTATTTATCAATGTTTAAGTTTGATACAGGGCATTTTTGGTTGCTTTTAATGTTTGTATCTTATTTAACTGAAACACATTCACAAACATAGAGCAAAACTGAAAATGAAATTAATTTTAATGAAAAACATTTTTTTACAAAAGCATCTTGCATCTTAAGTCAGATTTATATATGATATCATTGCCTATTTTAACTTCAACTTACTCTTATCCATTTCCATCAGTAGAATTAGTTTTCCAGAATGTCCTGTTTTACTTATAATGAGTTGCTCTGAAGTTTAATTTGAGCTTGTATGCATCGTCAGTCCTAAAAGATCATGACATGGGGCCTGGGACTGGATAATGCTGAGCAACTGCTGTTGTACCTACAAATCCCGGGTATGTCACTGAACACATCTGCTCGGTAGCTCTTGGAATCAGACGGAGGTTACTGTAGAATTAGAACGTGTTTCCTATTTATACCACAAACACAAACATTTGACCTCCCATTTTTGACTGAATAAATAGGAGGCGATTAAATAGTTATGTTAACAAGATTATATTTATCCAACATCGTAATAGTAAACTAAAAAGTATTTGAGAGATAGATAATTATACTTTGCTTTCAGTGATGTTTTGGCTGGGCACAGAGTTGAATTTTTCCAGTGATATTTGCTTACATTTCTCATTGCAGAAACTTAGAAGTCATGGGCAGAGTTTGTAGTAGTTTTTGTTTGTTAAGTGGGTAGATAGGATTTCATGTTTCTAAACTTGTATCTGAAGAGATAGGCAATC